GTGCATGGCCTTTTATGCATAAAAAAACTGGAAAGAGGGAAGAATTATTACAACATTGAAATTAGGGTGTTGGAGGACTACTTGGTAAAGAATATTAACTATACCATGGACCGCCAAAATGATGAACGGTGTTAGACATATAACCAGAATGCTCCTTAGAAGCTATGATGGAAAAACTTTGTTTTTTGTTCATTGGGTATTTTGTTAGTATAGACCAGTTTATGAGAAGGACGTCATGCTTGGAAAAATTCACAGAAAAGAGGAGGACCCTCAAGGAGATGGACTGACACAGTGACTATCACAACGGGATCAGACAGAGCCACAATTGTGAGGGTGGCCATGATGTTTTGTTCTATTGTACATAGACCAGTATGAGTCAGGACCCACTAAATGTCACCTAATAACAAGTGTAATGTTATGGTTGTTATAGGACTGTTTATGTTAAGTAATCTGCCATAATTGTCATTTTGTTTTGTTTTTAAATCATTTTATTGGGGGCTCTTATAGCATTCCATACATCAATTGTGTCAAGCACATTTGTACATATGTTCCCATCATTTTCTAAACATTTACTTGCTATTTGAGCCCTTGGTATCAGCTTCTCTTTTTTCCCTCCCTCCTATCCTCGTGACCCCTTGATAACTTACAAGTTATTGTTTTCATGTCTTATACTGATCACTGTCTCCCTTCACTCACGTTTCTGTTGTTCATTCCCAATGGGGGTGAGGAGGGGATTATGCCTCCATCATTGCAATTGGTTTTCTCTTCCTCCCCTCCCTTCTCTCTACCCTCCTGGTAGTGCTCTTCCCAATTCTGTTGCTGAGGGATTTATCTGACCTGGATTCCTTGTGTTGTGAGCTCTTATCTGTACTGGTATATGTGCTCTGGTCTAGCCAGAACTGAAAGGCAGGATTGGAGTCATGATAGTGGGGGGTGAGGAAGCCTCAAAGAACCAGAGAAATATTGTGTGTTTCATCAGTGCTATACTGTGCTCTGGTTGATTCATCCCTTCCTTGTGACCCTTCTGTGAGGGTATGTCCCATTGTCTGCAGATAAGTTTGGGGTCTCTGCTCTGGCCTCATTTCAACAAAATGTTTTTTTGTTTGTTTGTTTTGGGTCATCTGGTGCCTGTTACCCGATTCCATTGGCACTTCATGTACTTATTCCATGTGGGCTTGCTGCTTCTCTGCCAGATGGCCGCTTGTTTAACTTCAAGCCTTTAAGATAAGGTGACCAGACGTCCCGCTTTTGGCGGGACAGTCCCGATTTTTAACAATTTTTCCCACATCCCACGGCATTTTTTAAAAGTCCCAATTTTTGGAAAGAATGCATGACAAGCTAGGGTATACGGTTTTCGGCTGCCATGTGGCTATTTCACCGGGATATGAGTTTTATCAATGGTGTCCCGCTTTACCA